AGTCCAACCCCCTGCCAAGAAGCAGGAAAATTGCATTCAAAGCACCCCTGACAGATGGCCATCCAGCCTCTGTTTAAAAGCTTTCAAAGAAGGAGCCTCCACCACACTCCGGGGCAGAGAGTTCCACTGCTGAACGGATCTCACAGGAAGTTCTTCCTCATGTTCAGATGGAATCTCCTTTCTTGTTTGAAGCCATTGCTCCATTGTGTCCTAGTCTCCAAGGCAGCAGAAAACAAGATTGCTCCTGTCTCCCTATGACTTCCTCTCATGGCTATCATGTCTCCTCTCAGCCTTCTCCTCTTCAGGCTAACATGCCCAGCTCTTTAAGCCACTCCTCATAGGACTTGTTCTCCAGACCCGTGACCATTTTGCAGGAACTTTTATGTGAAGCCAAGGAATTCAGCTTTTGTGTTGCTCCTGATACGAACCCCCCCCCCCAGTATATTATACTATTAGTATTATATAATATATTGTAATATATCATAAATTGTAGTGGATATATATTACAACATTGTTCATATTATATATATATTAGTATTATTACATATACAAAAAATAATCTCCCATAACAGGGGAAGTTACTTTTCTTAGACTCTGAAGAGTAACTTATATCTTGAGAGGATTATGACTCTTTTTCTGGTCCAGAAAGTAGCTTGTGGAGTACTAAATGAACTAATTTAAAGAGGGCTCCAATTCGCGCCTGGAAAGGACTAGGCCGCACCGCAATGGTTGCCTAGTAACGTATTCCACCGCTCGAGAGAGAGGCAAGGTGTTTGGGCCAATAAGAGGCGGGGGCGGGGCTTCGCTAAACCAATAGACGACTCGGCGCTAGAGGAGCCTTCTAGAGAAGGGGCGGGGACCGTGACGTCACGCCACCCATCTCCCTCTGCGCCTGCGCGTCGTGCCTCGGCTCCTTCTGCGCCTGCGCGGAGTTGGTGTTCCCTCATTCGGGGCCGGGCACGATGGCGGTGCGAGCGCTGAACCCGAAGGCAGAGGTGGCCCGCGCCCAGGCGGCCTTAGCCGTCAATATCAGCGCGGCCCGGGGCCTGCAGGACGTGCTCCGGACCAACCTGGGCCCCAAAGGCACCATGAAGATGTAAGTCTTGAGGGGAAGAGGCCGGGAAAGAGGGAAGGGGCGTGGCCCGGAGCAGGCCCCGCCCACCCGCATGGCGCTCCAGGGCGCATGCGCGGAGGCCCAGCCCAGGCATTCTCATGCCTTGCTTCCCTTTCTCCCATAGGGAAAGTCTAATAGTAATAGAATAATACTGGAATAATAATAATAAATTAATTAATACATTAGTAAGATAATATAATAATGAACTTGTTATAGTAATAGAATAATTTTGTTGTTCATTCGTTACGATAATAATAATAATATGAAATAGACTAATATAATAGTAATATAGTAATACTGCAATAATAATAATGTAGATTAACATAGTGAAATAGTATTACTATAATAATATAGAATGGTAATATAATACTATAGTATATAAAAGTAGTATATTAGTAATATAATATGAAATAATTAATGTAATATAATGTTATAATAATATAAATATGTTAACATAATATAGATTAGTATAACATAATAGTAATATAATAATAAAATCAATTTAGGAAAGGGTGGCAAAAAGACCTCATGAAAAGTCTGCATAATGTGTTAGTAATATAATACTATAATAATGCTTTAACAATGTAAAGTAGGTTAATATAACAGTAATATAAGATAATAGTGAAAGTGTAATAGTAATAGAATAATACATTAATAATAATATAAAATAGATTAATATAGTAATATAGTACTACTGTAATAGTAATAATATAGATTAATATAGTGTAACAGTATTACTATAATAATATAAAGTTGATTGATATAATAATATAATAATACTGTAAAAAGAATATAAAATAGATTAATATATTAATGCTATAGGTAAAGGTTTTCCCCTGACATTAAGTCCAGTAGTGTGGGGGTTGGTGCTCATCTCCATTTCTAAGGCGAAGAGCCGGCGTTGTCCGTAGACACCTCCAAGGTCTTGTGGCCGGCATGACTGCATGGAGCACCCTTACCTTCCTGCCAGAGCAATACCTATTGGTCTACTCACATTTGCATGTTTTCGAACTACTAGGTTGGCAGAAGCTGGGGCTGACCTCTCCCCAGATTCGAACCTGTGACCTTTCAGTCAACAAGCTCAGCGGTTTAATCCACTGCGCCACTGGGGGCTCCCATAATAATGCTATAATGATAATATAAAATAGGTAAATATAATAGTAATATAAAATAGATTAACATAATAGTAATATACGTAATAATAATAAATATATAATCTAGGAAAGCACGGCAAAAAAGCCCAATTAAAAGTCTGCATAATGTAATAGTAATACTATAATAATAGTATAAAATAATTAACATAATAGTAATATAATAATAAATATATAATCTAGGAAAGCGCGGCAAAAAGGCCCCATAAAAGTCTGTATAATGTATTAGTAATACAATACTATAATAATGCTATAACAATATTTATTTTTATTTATTTACGGCATTTATAGCCCGCCTTTCTCAGCCCTAAGGTGACTCAGGGCGGGTTACAGATTGGCAACAATTCCATGCCATGTATTCATAAAAAACAATTAAAACAATCAGCAATATAAAATGTATAAAAAAAGCATTAAAAACATGTAATCACCAATAATGTGAAATAGGTTAGTATAATAGGAATTCAAGATAATACTATAATAATATAAAATATATACTTTAAAATAATAAAATAGGAAAATATATAATCTAGGAAAGGACAGCAAAAAAGCCCCATTAAAAGTCTGCATAATGTACTAGTAATACTATAATAATAATAATATAAAATAGATTAATATAATACTGTAATAATAATAATAATAATACTATAAAATAGATTGAAATAATCAAATAGATATATAATCTAGGAAAGGGCAGCAAAAAGGCCCCATAAAAATCTGCATAATGTAATAGTAAAATAATAATATAAAGTATATTAATGTAATATTAATATGATAATCATAAAATAGATAAATACAGTCTAGGAAAGGGCAACAAAAAGCCCCATTAAAAGTTTGCATAATATAATGATAATTGTTGCTAAAATAAATATAATCTAGGAAAGGGTGACATAAAGACCCCATTAAAAGCCTGTATAATATAATAGTAATGTAATAATAATAATAAAATAGATAAATATAATCTAAGAAAGGGTTGCGAAAAGGCCTCATTAAAGGTCTGCATAATAGAATAATAACAATATAAAAATGAAACAGATAATAATAATCTAGGGTGACAAAAATAGTAATAGAATAGAAATGAATAGGATGAAAATAATGAAATAAACTGACACTCCTCTCTCTCTCTTAGGCTTGTCTCTGGTGCTGGAGACATCAAGTTGACCAAAGATGGCAACGTTCTGCTTCATGAGATGGTGAGTCTTTTTTTCTCTCCTTTCTCCACACCAGAGAAAGGTCATCTGCAATGGGGTGGTGGTGGTAGTGGTATGTGCTTTGATGGTGATTTCCTGTCTGAAGGCATGAGGTTGGACTAGATGTCTTCCAATGCTATAATCCTATGATAAGGCATCCCTGCCGCAATGGAGAGGATAATGTGGTCCTCTTCTTCCCCTCAGCAAATCCAGCACCCGACGGCCTCCTTGATTGCCAAAGTGGCCACCGCACAGGACGACATCACTGGCGACGGGACCACATCCAATGTCCTCATCATCGGCGAGCTTCTCAAGCAAGCCGACCTCTACATTTCAGAGGTGAGTGGCTTTCTATCCCCCAATGCCAAGCATGTCGTTTTCCTTCAAAGCAGCTTGGAGTATTGTTCTGCTGAAGACTATGCAACTTATATGCGATAGTTTTCCAATGAATATCTCATTGAGTCTCGAGCAGTTCAGCCTACTTTGTGGCAGCCACAAAAAAACGAAGTTTCTGGAATACAACAACTACTTTCAAGATAAGGACTGCGCAATGAAACAGGAAATAACACTTTGAAATCAGGAACAGAAATTATTTCAAACTTTAGTTACAAAGTGTTACTATATTATGATTATGGTATTACTATCAGTATTATGATTATAGTATTATAATTATTGATATTATATCATTATTGTATCCTGAAGTTTATGTTTATTATTACCGTTATTATTATCATTCATTATTGATTATTATATTCATCTATCATTATTTATGTATTCATTACACTATGTATTATGATTTTCAAATTTTATTAATATGGTATTATTATCAGTATTATGATTGTGGTATTATAATTATCAATGTATTAATGTTATTGTATTCTTTTGTTTATGTTTATTATTACCATTATTATTATTTTATTATATTATTGTTTATGTTTTTATTACACTATGTAATACAATTTTCAAATTTTATTAATATGGTATTATCAGTATTGTGATTATGGTACTATAATTATTAATATTTTATTAATGTTATTGTATTATTTTGTTTATGTTTATTACCATTATCATTATTAATTTTTTATTGTATAAATATATTTATTATTGTTTATATATTTATTACATTATGTAATATGATTTTCAAATTTTATTACTAAGGTATTATCAGTATTACGATTATGGTATTATTATAATGATTGTTATGTTTATTATTCCCATATTTATTAGTATTTTGTTACATCATGTTATTATTCACAACATGTAAACGTACCAAGGATGTCGGGGGTTTATGAAGTTTATGAAGACCTGTTCAGCAATTGAATAGGCTTCCTTGCCAGGTGACAAAGTCTGCTTCTCCAGAGGCTGGATGGCCATCTGTCAGGGGTGCTTTGGTGGTGTCTTCCTTTATGTATCTTAATGTCTTTCTTTATGGCAGAAGGAGGTTGGACTGAATGGCCCCTTGGGGTCCCTTCCAACTTTATGATTCTAGGATTGGGTCTCGTTTGCGTCAGGGATTTGGGTTTCAAACTGTTCCCATTTGGTTGCGCTCCGCACAGCAAACACCCAAGTGAGCTCTGTAGCTTCCTTGGCATAACTCTGTGCCACAGTATATCATTAGCTGTCCTTTACCCTCTGCATTGGAAGGTATCCTGATCCTTTTAAATGTATTCAAAAGGACAGCACACGCTTTGCTGAAGTCAGGAGGAAAAGAACATGTGTGTAGAGAAGAGCTGAGTTAAGGTGGGCCTTGGACCCAGCAGATTTTGAAAATTGTATCCCAAATTTGTTCTTTTCTGCATTCTCTCTGGGGTGACATCTGGGGTCTAAAATAAGATTGGGAATACCAAAACCATGAAGCCAACTGTCTCCCATGCCTCCCAAAAGGCAAAATGTATTTTTGATTTTTGTTTGTGTGGCAGTAATAATAATAATATGAATGCTGTTACTACTACGACTGGTCATCATGTATTTATGGTTGGCTCTTGTCTGGGGTGGTAGCAATAATACTAATGTAATTATTACTAATAATATATTTATTTTTGGCCTTAGTCTGTGGTGCTTTAATAATAATAACAATGTGTGTGTGTGTGTATTTGTGTCAGGAATAATACTAATGCTGCTACTACTACTGATAATAATAATAATGTATTTTTGCTTTTGTGTATAGGGTGTAAACTTTATTTATACCCCGCCACCATCTCCCCAATGGAGACTCGGAACGGGTTACATGGGGCCAAGCCTGGACATTACAATAAAATAAACCAAAAAACATAATGGACAATCAACATCATCCAACATTCATATTTATTTATCTCCCTAAAGGAGACTCAAAGCAGCTAATAAAAATCTTATTTGTTTTTTGCTTTTGTTTGCCGGATGGTAACTAATACTAATGATGCTGCTGCGACTACTATTACTAATGTATTATTCCTATTACTACAAATAATAATCCATGATCTCTTAGTGGGGTGGGATGCACCCCTACAGTCTCTTCATTATAATAATATTTTTGTGTTTGTTACCCACCTCTTCTTACAACCTATGGTGGGGCACACCAAAGTCAAAATACATCCACAAAGGTGCCCATTAAAATGTACACATTGAAATGCATGATACAAAATGCAGTTCCTCTTCCTAGGAAGCCTTTTCCTTTTTCCTTCTGTTGCTGAACATTGGGCACAAAGCTGATGTTCTTTGTCAATCCCTAGGGTTTGCACCCACGCCTCATTGCGGAGGGTTTTGAGGCAGCCAAGGAGAAAGCCCTGCAAGTCCTGGAGCAGGTCAAGGTGACCAAGACCATGGACCGGGAGACTCTCCTGGATGTGGCCCGCACCTCCCTCCGCACCAAGGTCCACGCTGAGCTGGCCGACGTACTGACCGAGGTGAGCGGATGCCCCTTCTTTTTCCACAGGGTTGGGAAGGCGGATTCAGTCGTTATGCACTGCTTCTGACGAGGCCGTTGCTCCCTCTCTTCCCAGGCCGTGGTAGATTCCGTCCTGGCTATCCGGAAACCCAATGAGCCGGTCGACCTCTACATGGTAGAGATCATGGAGATGAAGCACAAGTCTGAAACCGACACAACGTAGGTGACAGGCATGCCTGGGCGGCTGTGTGAGACTTGGGGCCAATCCCTGATAGTCATAATCATAATAGGAAGAAGAAGGGTTGCCTCAAAACAGCAGCCCAGTAATTTTAATATTTATACCAGGATGTTTTTAATGCTTTGTCTTAATGCTTAAATGTTGTTTATGTCTTATGTTTAATGGTTTTCATGATTTTCCTTTATAGTTATAGGTTAGTGTTTAGTTGTTATGATTTTTTTGTCTACATATGTGTTGGCATTGAATTTTTGCTATTCGTATGTTGTAAACCACCCTGAGTCTCCCCCTGGGGTGAGAAAGGCAATATATAAATACAGTAAACAAACAAATAATTATAAGGAGAAGAAGTGTTGGGCTGTTGTTCAAGGCCCAGTATCATGACCTTATTTCCTGGTTTTGTCTGAATCCGGGAAATCAGATCATGCCCTAGACCTGGCCTATGTATATTTGAAACAAGGGAGAGGGTTGCCATGGAAATGGGAGCAATGAAAGGGAGGGGCCAAGGTGAGGTGTGAGGGAAATAAAACTGTCAGTTGGAATTTTGTTTTGTACCCCAATGTATGCTTTTGAAATAAAGCCTTCCTACTTTGTTTGTAAAGGTAAAGGTTTCCCTGTGACACTAAGTCTAGTTGTGTCCAGTGGCGCAGCATCTTAATAGTAGTAGTAATAATCCTGAAGAATAGTAATAATAGGAAAAAGAAGGCCGCTTTGGCTGCTGTTTTGAGGCCCAGGGCCAATTCTTCGTAGTAGTAGTAGTAATAAAATGACACTACTATATGCTGGTCTGTAAGCCACCCCAAGTCCCTTCTGCGAGATGGTGGCGGGATATAAATAGTTAGTAGTAAGTAGTAAGGGTTGGGCTGCTGTAGGAGGCCCAGGGCCAAGTCCTAATAATAATAATAATAATAGAAAGAAAAAGGGTTGTTCCGCTGTACGAGGCCCAGAGCCACGTCCTAATAAATAATAATAGTAATAGTAATAATAATAGGAATAAAGTGTAGAGCTACTGTATGAGGCTCAGGGCCAACTCATAATCATAAGATTAAGAAGGGTTGGGCTGCTGTTTGAAGCTAGGGCCAATTCCCAATAATAATAAGGGTTGGGCTGCTGTATGAGGCCCAGGGCCAACTAATAGTAAAAGTAAGAATAAGAATAAGAATACTATTATTTATTTGCTGTATTTGTATACCGCCTTTCTCAGCCTATTGAGTTTCTGTATGAGGCCGAGGGCCAACTCCTAATAATATAGATGATGATGGTGATGGTGACAATAACAACAATAATAATAGAAAGAAGGGTTGGGTTGCTGTTTGAGGCCCAGAGCCAACTCCTAGTAGTAGTAGTAGTAGTAGTAGTAGTAGTAGTAGTAATAATAATAATAATAATGTTGAGCTGATGTATGAGGCCCAGGGCCAACTTCTAATAATAATAATGATAATGATAATGATAATAATTAGAAGAAGGCTTGGGCTGCTGTTTGAGGCCCGGGATCAAGTCCTAATAATAATAGTAATGGGAAGCGGCCTCTTTTCCTCCTATTGGATGGGAAGGAACAGTAGGAAGAACTTCCTGATGGTAAGAGGGAAAGATAGTGATGGAGTTGCAGCCTACGGCTGGCAAAAAATAGCAAACCCCTCTCCTGTCCATTTTGAAGCTAGACATCTCACTTAGATGATATTTTGAGTCCTCAAGGGAGTGATCCTGTGGCTTGGTCCCTCTGGAGACCTTTGTGGGCATGGCCGAATTCTGCATTGGCCTTGACAATGGCCAGTGGAGTCAGACACCATGCGAGAGAAAGGCCTCTCTGTCTTGCGAGTTTCCTCATGGCGTGCAGTCTGGAGTGTCACATGCCTGGATCGGAAGCAGATACATAGCTGGCGGTGGCATTCTTGTGTTGATGTCTCACTTTCAGGTCTCAAATGAGGCCGTGTATCAGGCCGGTGAGAGGCCACTGATCTGGGATGTCCCTCTTCTTCTTTAGGCTGATCAGGGGTCTTGTCTTGGACCACGGGGCCCGCCACCCGGACATGAAGAAGAGGGTCGAGGATGCCTACATCCTGACCTGCAACGTGTCCCTCGAGTATGAGAAAACGTATGTCAAACGGCCGGATTTCTTCAAACATTTGCCTCTGATACTCCTTAGAGATTGTGTCTTCTGTCTGTCTGTCCATGTCATTGTTTCCCAGATAGATAAATAGATAGATAGGAACATGGAAAGAAGTAAACATAGAGGCATAGATATAGATATAATAATAAAATTATTATTATTATTAGATATAGATAGCCCCTGGTGTCCCTTCAACTCTTCAGAGTCTATGGCAGATGGTTGGATGGATGTTGATGTTCATTGGTTTAGTAGTTTCCGACTCTTCGTGACCTCATGGACCAGCCCACGCCAGAGCTCCTTGTCGTCCGTCACCACCCCCAGCTCCTTCAAGGCCAATCCAGTCACTTCAAAGATCCCATCCATCCATCTTCCCCTTGGTCGGCTCCTCTACCTTTTTCCTTCCATTTCCCCCTGCAAATTGGATGAATACATAGATGCATAAATAGATACATCTACATTGGTATATATCCCTTGGGGTTCCTTCCAAGCATTCAGAGGCTATGATGGATGGATGGATATATAGATACATACATTGATTCATACATAGATATATAACCCTTTGGGCCCCTTCCAAATGTTCAGTCTATGACAGATGGATACATACATACATACATACATACATACGTACATACATAGATATAGATAGCCCTTATGACAGATGGATGGATAGACAGATGGATTGATCGATAGATACATACATACATACATAGGTGGATTGATGGGCAGATAGATAGACTTTCAAAATTTCATTATTATTTCATTATTTGCTTATTTTTATGACAGAACCAATTAGGAACTGCTATTTATAATGAAATTTTGAAAGTTTTGTTAGAGTTCTGAAATTTTCACCACCAGAACTTTAGAAACACTTTAGAAGCCAAGCACCAGCGCCCCCTAGTTTTGTAAGTGCTTTAGAACCATTTACAGCCCACGCCTAATAGATACACAGATATAAATATGGATCTAGATCGCCCTTGGGTTCCCTTTGGTAGTTTTTGTTTGGTTTCCCATGCTCCTTTCCTGCTTTGTGTGTTTGTGTTCTATATACTACTTTTGTTTCTCCTCGGTTGCTATGCTGGAATCGCAGTGATTTCTTAAAATCTCTCTCTCTCTCTCTCTCTCTCTCTGCAGGGAAGTGAACTCAGGCTTCTTCTACAAAAGCGCCGAAGAGCGGGAGAAGCTGGTGAAGGCCGAGCGGAAGTTCATTGAGGAACGGGTGAAGAAGATCGTGGAGTTGAAGCAGGCCGTGGTGGGCGACTCCAACAAAGGCTTCGTGGTCATCAACCAGAAGGTAGGGCTTGGCGTGCGAAACCACACCGGAGAAATCTTTACAAACTGGCACTTGTTCTGGAATTCATGCCTGGTCTTGTTTTTGCAGGGGATCGACCCCTTCTCCCTGGATGCTCTGGCCAAGGAAGGCATAATTGCCCTGCGCAGAGCAAAGCGGAGGAACATGGAGAGGTGGGTTTTCTAGGATGTTTGGGGCTTTGTGGAGGGATGCTTAAGGGGCTGATGTTGTGTTTCTCCCCGTGGAGCAAGAATTTGACCAAGTTTGATGTTGCCATGGGTGGGTGTTATTATGATGTTGATATTCTTGTTGTTATTATTGTTTTTGTTCCTGGGTTATTAATGTCATTTCCTAATTTCCTGGTCTATCATAAAAACATGAAAAAATTGTTTCTTTCGGTCTTGCTGTCATGATCCCAGAGTACCGTATATACTCAAGTATAAGCCAACCCGAATATAAGCCGAGGCACTTAATTTTACCACAAAAAACTGGGAAAATGTATTGACTCGAATATAAGCCAAGGGTGGGAAATGCAGGCGCTATGGGTAAATTTCAAAATAAAAATAGATAACCAATAAAATTACATTAATTGAGGCATCAGGAGGGGAAATGTTTTTGAATATTTACATAAGACTGTAATTTAAGATAAGATTGCCCAACTCTGATTAAATCATTATTCTAACCTTCTTTAATATCAACATACTTACGTATCCTTCCAACAATAATAGAGTAAAATAATAAATATAATAATAGAGTAAAATAATAGAAATGCAATTATAACAGTAATAATAGAGCAAAATAATAAATGCAATAATAATAAAGTAAATTAATAAATGTAATGATAATAGGGTAAAATACTGTAAATGTAATAATAATAAATAGTGTAAAATAAATGTAATAAAAATAATGCTAATAACAGAGAAAAATAATAAATGCTATCTGGATCAATGAATCTGCTTGTGGTATGATTGTCATGCACTTCAATGTGCCCTAAGCCCTCTCTCTTTTCAGGCTGACATTAGCTTGTGGCGGCATTGCCATGAATTCCGTGGAAGACCTTTCGCCGGACTGTTTGGGCCACGCCGGCCTGGTCTACGAATACACCCTGGTGCGCCTGCTTTTCTGTCGATGTTGAGGCTGTATCATGGTGGGATAGAAAATAATAGCTTCATTGTCATTGCACATCATGCAACAAAATTGAATGCAAGTGTGGAATTACAAACAGGAAAGCACCCATCCTTCCACATTATGATTGCTATTGCACTACCCCTTGCCACATGAGTGTGAATCCATAGCAGTCGATACAGTCACAGCTCTGGGATAGACAATGTCTCTCAGCCTATTTGCCCTTGTTTTTAGCATCCTGAGTAATACCAATTCCAAAAGAAGAATATCCAGTGTGAGATGGATCTGTCAAAATATTCTTGCTCCTTCCTTCCTAACTTCCTTTCATTCTTCCTATCTTTCTTTCTTTCCTATCTATCTTTCTTTCCTTCTTATCTTTTTCTTTCTTCCTTCCTTCCTTTTTTTCTTCCTTCCTTTCTTTTTTCTTCCTTCCTTTCTATTTTCCTTCCTTTTTTTCTTCCCTCTTTTCATTATTCCTACCTTTCTTTCATCCTTCCTTCCCCTTTCTTCCTTTTTTTCTTCCTTCCTTCCTTCCTTCCTTCCTTCCTTTTTCTTTGTTTCTTTCTTCCATCCTTTCTTCCTTTCTGTCTTCCTTCCTTTTTTCTTCCTTCCTTTCTTTCTTCCTTCCTTCCTTCCTTCTTTTCATTCTTCCTATTTTTCTTTCATTCTTCCTTCCTTCCTTCCTTCCTTCCTTTCTTTTTCTTCCTTTCTTCCTTCCTATCTTCCATCATTTTTCTTTCTTCTTCGTTCCTTCCTTTTTTTCTTTCTCTTTTTCCTTATTTTCTTCCTTTCCCTCTCATTGTTCAGGGTGAGGAGAAGTTCACCTTTGTGGAGAAGTGTGACAACCCGCGCTCGGTGACCCTCCTGATCAAGGGCCCCAATAAGCACACTTTGACCCAGATCAAGGACGCCCTCCGGGACGGTCTGCGTGCCGTCAAGAACGCCATTGAGGACGGTAAGTAGAAGAGTTGCAGGAGTGCATCTGCCTGGCATTGCCCTTTCTCCACTCCCTTATCTTCCTTGCCTCTCCTCTCTCTCCCCCCTTTCCTTCCTTCCTTCCTTCCTTCCTTCCTTCCTTCCTCTTCTCTCCCTCTTTCATCCCTTTCTTTCTCTTCCCCTCCTCTCTTGCCTCTAGAACAGCTATTTCTCAACCTGGGGGTTGTGACTCCTGGAGGGGTTGCGAGTGGGTTTCAGAGGGGTCTCCAAAAATCGTTAGAAAACACATATTTCTGGTGGTCTTAGGAACCCCTTTGGCAGAGAAGGCTGAAGATCTCTCTGCCTGTCCTTCTCTTCCTTTTTGGAAATAGATGGCGAATCCTCCCACCAAAAGCCTTCCTCCGCTGGGATTGGCTGGCCTCTCAGCCAAGGGGAGGGCTGTTTCTGAGACTCCAAATGGGGAGGGGAGAGCAGGTGTGGGTGAGGGAGAGCGTGCAAGGCTGGAGAGGCTTGTGCCAGCCAGTTCTTTCAAGACATGGAGTTTCTGTGTGGGAAGTTTGGCCCTATTCTATCGTTGGTGGAGTTCCGAATGCTCTTTGATTGTATAAATCCCAGCAACTACAACTCCCAAATGTCAACCTCTATTTTCCCCAAACTCCACTAGTGTTCCCATTTGGGCATACTGAGTATTTGTACCAAGTTTGGTCCAGATGCATCACTGTTTGGGTTCACAGTGCTCTCTGGATGTAGGAGAAACTACAACTCCCACACTCAAGATCAATGCCCACCATTGTATTTTCTGTTGGTCATGTGAGTTCTGTGTGCCAAGTTTGGTTCAGTTCCATCATTGGTGGAATTCAAAATGCTCTTTGGTTGTAAGTAAACTATAAACCCCAGCAACTCCAACTCCCAAATGACAAAATCATTCTCCTCCCTCAATCCCTTTCCTTCCTTCCTTCTGTTTATTCCTATGTCCCCCCAATAAATCCTGAATTGTTTCCCCTCTCAGGCTGCGTGGTGCCAGGGGCCGGGGCCTTGGAGGTGGCCATTGCCGACGCTTTGGTGAAGCACAAGCCCTCCGTCAAAGGCCGGGCCCAGCTGGGGGTGCAGGCCTTCGCGGACGCCCTCCTCATCATCCCCAAGGTAGGAAACCTTTGTGGGGTGGAAAACTATTTCATCCTTCAGACTTACCTTTCCTTTTTGGTAATCCAACAATGCCCATTCATTCGAATGCTCTCCAAAGGGATTTGGGGTCACTGTAGAGGGGATGGAGCCTGCAAAATGGGAGAGACTTTGGGAGAAGAGGAGGTGGGGCTAAGGGCATGCTCAAGCGCCAGAGTGGAATGCCCCAGGATGAGCTTAGGTGGCCAAACCTGTCTTTTGCTGCCTCCCCTTTTCAGGTCCTGGCCCAGAACTCA